CTTACCATAGCGAAGTATATCGCCGCTAAATGCTTCTATGCCCACCTTATGAACATCGGTTCAGTAGGGTCCGCCGCCTGCTTACGCACTTGCTTGCAGTCTGGTTCGCTGCGAATGATGGGGCCGCGTTCTTAAAGAAAGAGGGCAGTGAAGCTAAATTTGCTCAGCTTAATGCAACCAGAGGGCGAGAAAATCGCCGATAAAATTGAGGATAATCGAAACAAAAATTAGTGCTGCAGACATACGTTTTCAAGCGCTTGCTGAACAATGCTTTCGCTCTCAGCGTCCAAAGCACTCGTCGCCTCATCGAGTAACAGAATTCGTGGATTTCTGACAAGAGCTCGAGCAATGGCAACACGCTGCTTTTGACCACCGGAAAGCTGAACTCCACCTTCACCTATCCTTGTTCGGTAGCCCTGAAAACAAATTTATTCAAAGTACGTACTACCTGCTACCGTATTCCTTAATCATCAGAATAGGTTCTACTTCAGCAGTTTCCCACCCTCCTGAACACCCTTCTTCGAGAAGTAGTTCATGTGCAATCATGATGGGGAAAATCAGAAGCTTGCGCAAACCTGGCTTAGGTTCACAATGAAATCGTGGGCATTCGCCATTTTACAGCAATCTTCCATTTCCTGCTGCGAAATATCCGCTCGTCCCAGACGGATATTGTTCTCAACCTTAATTGCTATATTACTGATTGACAGAGGCTGGGTCTACATGTAGTTTGGAGAGAGTTACTACCGCACATGGGCATGGCACAGCTGGGGAATACAACTCAACTGGGAGCATAGTAGGCAGCGGAGGTACAACCTTGCTGGGTTGTTGGCCATTTCCATGACGGCCCTACTGCGCTGGGTCTCAGAAACGGCCTCTATTTAGCTCAAAAAAGCAGAAATAAATACGATACATATACATAACGTCCAGCAAGCAGAGGACCTATAGACTGCAATATTCTGAGGGTCCCAGTCTGAGGGCAGTTCTGCATCATTGAAAAGCACAACGACCCTTCATCTCTAGGCAGCGGAAAAGCTGTGTTTGCATGCAAGATGCAAGGTTTGGCACCATAGGAAAGTATTAGAACTGACGAGTGCGAAGTGGTGAAACTTTAAAACCGAAGAGCAAGGAGTCTGAGCTTCCCTTCTCGTTCTAGTGACTATACTCCCAAGGAGAGACATTGGAAGGTCCTCCTGGACAACAAGATGCCGAAGCTATCTGGTATCTATCTAGCTACATATCTTGGCGTGGGACCACGTGTTTTGGTTGAGAGAGGGAGGGGTTTCAGCGAAGCCTTTAACAAGAGATGACAAAGTAACTGACAGTGTCAGCAAACAGTGCTGGTTCTTGAGATACGACTCCAACAATGTTCCTCAAATGTTCGATGTTCAGTTCAGAAACAGGCACGTCATCGATGGATACCTGAAAGAAACTTCTTGTCGGGTCTTGTGCTGGTAATCATCAGTTACCTTTCCTGACTGTTGTTCATAGAAGCGCAGCAGTAAACCAACAAGTGTGCTCTTCCCACAACCGCTATGGCCCACAAATGCAATGTGCTGCCCGCTTTCCACGTCAATTGTAACTCCTTTCAGCACTTCAACCTAAAGTAAAATTAGCCAAAATACTGAGGCAATATCTCCAATGCTGTACCTCGGGACGAGATGGATAGCTAAAGCGGACATCTTTAATTGAAATCCGTCCTTTAACATCTTCAAGTACTTTTCCTTCTTTGGACAGGGAATCGATAGGTGGTTTCTGAAACAATGGTCCCATCAGCTGATCCGTTTCTGAAGGTTAGCCGGACAAACCCGATCGATGATGGCGAAGATTGGAGCAGCAGCAGTCATACTGGAAAGGAGGACACCAATCTGAGGAGCTGCCTGTGAAACAGCAAAAGCTCCACCGATTACTGCCCAAAAAACGGAGAACACCGTTCCAGGCGTGATGGCTCCCGAAATCACTAACTTTGTACCGTACCTGAAGTAGACACTTTTGCTAGGTTACGGTAATATAATCTATGCCACTCATTGATGCGGGCATTCCTCACCAAAATGAAACCCCCATGGAGACAAAGAGAGAAGCCATGATAAACGCTACTCCGAATGAGGTGAGGAAAGCCTTTATCATTCCATGTCGCATGCCTTCTTCCAGATAGCCGGAGTACCTGAAACAGCAGCATAAGTCCACATTCTGCTCCGCCAAAGTAGAGCATTACACGCAGTTCCAGCACCTCTTGATCTCTTTCTCCTGTCCGTTGAACGCCACCACCGTTCGTATCCCGCTGATCACCTCTTCAGCAGTAGATCCAGCGCGTATGTATGACTGCTGCTCCTTGGGTGTAACTCTGCCCATGATCTGTAATCGTGATTAGTTGATCACCTGCACAGTACAGGGCGAAATGATGAGCGGTTCTCACCCTGGCAGTTACAATGAGCGGACCGAAGAAGATTGGAAAAAATCCGACCATGACAAGGGTCATTTGCCAGCTGAAATTTTATCATTTAGCACTGTCTCAGAGGTTCTTTCTACGGTATCAACGGTGCTAGAGAAATTATTGCACCTTTTTCATTGGAAATTAGAAAGTTAGGAGGAGCAAAGGAAGCATCAAGGAGCAGGGGTAGACTCGGCTCCGTTCTTAGAATGAGAGTAAGTAAGTCTTCAGAATGCTCCTACCATATGAATGAAACATTGAAAAGAAGAACTGAGCTCATGAAAATAAGGACTAAATTGTACGAATGAGGATGGAATAGTGTGCCGATAACAGATAAGGCCGAAGTAAAAATCGAGATCCTGTAGAGTCAGTCCCACTCTTTGGCTACCTTACTGATTAGAGGAGCACTGAAACACGTGCAAGGATGAGGAACCGTTGCGCCCAGCCGCGACCTCGACCACGATCTTCATTCTCAGGAAGTTCGCGCAGCTATCTCAAAATACGCAGCCACATGATGGCTCATCTTCACAGTGGTTCCTATTGCGTATACTAGGGCACAAGACCACGAACAAGTTTGTTTCATATGAGGCTTCCATTAGAAACAGGGCGCATCATCACTGGGATTCCCCCCACAGGGGGTCGTATTTGGTCTGAAAATTTTTTTTGATAGTTGATTTTTTGTATCGCGGACGCTAGAAGGGGAAGGGGATCGCATTCGCTTTGGAGGAGCCCCAGATCATCTCCTGTAGCGTCTTCTAATCAGAACGCTCTAGGAACGCTTCAGGTAATCGTAACAAGAACCTTCAAGAGAGTAAATATTAGGTCATCCCATTCAAACGTGCCGCTACATATAGAGGAATGGCAGAAAAGCAAAGGGGATAGAGCAGCGGGCTACTATACCATTTGGAAGCTAGTACCTTAAGCTGTGTATCTGTGAAATTTGGCGAACCTAGCCCCAGAAGAAGTTCTCGAGAAATTGAAAAGAAGCCCGAGTGGTGAAAATCGGCGCCGGTTTTTCAAATCAGACGTCATAAGAGGAAAGTGCGCTGCTCAAATTTGACCTGCGCCGGACCATAGTTGTGTGTAGGGTGTTCTCGAAATACACGGTGGAAGATTTGGTTCAGGAGCCCGTACAAGGAAGAAAGGAAAAAATTTGTTGTCGTGGATGGTCCCATAATATTCATCCTGCACAAGAAAAACGGGTGGATGAAGTCAGGCACTGAATATCTGATCACAGAGCCTGGACCTTTGTCGGGTTTCCCCGCGAGACTGACATCCCTGCTGCAATTACTGTACGTGTTATGACCGATAAACTGAGGATGGTCAAGGGGGTGTGCGCATGGGTACCCAATTTTCTTATAGAAGCACGAACGCAGTACCGATTCTATACCTCTAGCAGTAATGTTCTCAGCATGAGATGTCACTCACAACTGTGAAAACGCACCCAGGCCTTAGATGAAATATGGGTGGTCTCGGACCTCGAGCCGAAACTCACAATCGTCAATTTTGTATGAATGCAGATGAGAAGCCGCCCGAGTTCTACCATGAAGAGTTACGTGGGCGCAAGTGGATGATCATCATAGCAAAGGATTCCCACACTGTGGCTTTCAAGCGGCTCTATACAGAGAACAAATCCGTCACTGTCGGTGCATATTGCCTGTTCCTCGGCATTCAGATCGACAAATGGATGCTACCACACAACTACAAGAAGGCCACCGTTGCTCGTCATAGTACCAGACCCCGAGTAACTGTATTGTAGATCAGTGCTGGGACACAAACAATACTGAGACCTGGGTTCAATCGCCCCATTCGCCCGTCATAAAGCCATGCGATTACAACTGTTCTATTCAGTAGAGAGTACTCTTCGACGGCAGACGCTACAATGTTTTGTCATTTGCCGAAATTGGCAACAACAGCAATTTACCCACACTTGTTGAAAAATCGAAGGTACCAGAGGTCCAAAGGCCCTCGGGGCACTGGGAGCGGGTCATTGGTGAAGGAGGGATTTACTCATCCTAAAGCTAAAATATCACTTTTCTATCTATTCTCCTCTTTGTTTTATTCAAAAAAACCAGCGGCACGTTTGAATGGGATGACCTAATAGTAAAAATGAAAGTATTGGTCCATTGCCATACCCATTGAGTGTTGTCTTAGGCATACATACCTACAACTGACCGCAACTGTTATGCCGGCAATGAAGGTGGCCACATAAGCAAACATCGCACCGAGTTTGTCGCCGATACCGTCACGAATTCGATCTATGCCACTGAAACAAAGGAGAAACATGATAAGGAGTAGCACTCCTAGAGAACGAAAACTTAACGTAATGAAGACTTCCCATTCTGGTTTTTTTCACTTACTAACTTTTGGCACACCCCAGCAATTACGTATACTCCTTATCCCTGAAACGGGGTAGGCGTGGCATTCGAACATGGCACAGAACTGGTTACTCGTGGGATATTTCAATTTGAGAACCGCCATCTTGTTCTTTGTTGGACAGAGACGTGACCACATTTGGGTCAAAATGAAAATATCTCCCCAAAGCCGTAAGTCATCACCACCGTTATAGTTTTGAAGTACAACAGCCACGCCTACCTCATCTCAGGTATTCGAGTGTACTACCCGAAATACTGTACTTCCCTGGGAACGAGAGGCACCATCGCTGGGACAGGTCGCAGTTGCACATGTAGAGCCGTGGTGCAGGCCAATTATAAAAGGCTCACGGCCCGGATCATTCCCTCCAGCACCCTAACTCGCTCACTGGCTGTGGCGCCGGCGAAGTAGACACATAGAAGGATTCAGCTGGATAGGGCAGCAATTGTCGCCCGCCGGATGCCCTGAGCTGCAGTCTTACGCACGCGCCCATTTCCTTATAAAAGGTGAGCGGAAGCGTCAGAGCTGTTCGAGCGTCCTCTGGGAGACCGATACTCGTTAGTTCCCTTTTTTCACGAATGGCTTGATGTTTCAGGACTTTCGCGGGAGCGGAAAAAGAATAATCAACGAAGGAAATATAAATAAATGAACTACGGTATTCAAGGAATCGATCTATTCCCTCCAATCGCAATCTGATGACATGAAAGCTATTGTGAATGATCATGCTAAGGAGAATCCATGAACATACAAATCCATGCCCGTGAAGGTGGTTCCATCATCTCAATATCCACAAAACTAACTCACTCGCTCATCCGAGTTGTGAGTGCTCCACTCTCATTTCGATCGAACCATGCCATGTCCTGTCGTATCACAGAAGCAAAGAAACGGTTTCGAATCTGGTAAACTTGTCGCTCACATACAGTATGCCAGCAACACATCTATAAAGTTCTTGTTTTACCACCGCTGCTTGTATACGGAGACATGATTGAGCTCTCCCAACTAGTCCCAGCCACTATCGCCGCTTACGTTTTAGTGAAAATTTCTTTGTGAATCGCTAATAGTTTGGGAAAAAGCTCTCTTCACAACGGGCTTTCCATTGTGAAAATAAATCGTGCCAAAACGAGAAGGACTGGCACTATTCATCCTTTACTGCCCCAGGGTGAATAGTGCCGAAAGACTTTGAACCGAATTGAAAACCCAAAATTCTGAAAGAGAATGAGGTAAATAAGTGGGTGGTGCAGTGCCTGATGACCTTGGTCACCTCTGGCAGAACGCAGTCGAATTCGGCTTCTGCTCGAACCAAGGCTCTCAGTCCTTGTGGGCCAGTTGTTTTGTATTTGGAGGGTATTAACAATGACTGCGCACTGATTAGCTTCGCCTCATCAGCCTCATGCATGCGTTGAAATCTGTTTGCACAAAAATGCTGAGTTACTAGCACAATTCTTAACCACAGGCGGGGTTTTGAACGCACACCACACGTTTCCGGGCTAGTGCGCTATCCTACACTCGTCATCGATTAGGGCGGTCGTCAAGGGGCCGCAGACGCGGCTGCAGCAGCGACCGCGTACGTAGGAACTGTGTGCGGCGATCAGCCGTTTCCGGCCTGGTTTAGTCATTTTTTCCTACTTTTCACTGTTTTTGGCTGTTTTTTTTCAAGGTTAACTGTTCCTTGTCTTCACAAGATAAATTATGATTGAGATTTTTCTAACTTTTGCGAACAATTAGACGATTAAACAAACAATTAAACAAACACCTAAAAAATCGCGAAAAACACTCCATTACAAGAACAAAAAAAAGAATCACGTCTCATATATACTTCATATAGACAATAAAGCAACTTACCTTAAAAAAGAAATACAGTAGAAACTAGGGAGAAAATGGCTAAAATAGGCTGGAAACAGCTGATCGCCGCGCTCGCAACACACCGCAGCCGCGTCGCGTCCCTTGCCGCCCAAATCAAGTCACCGGATGACGACTGTATGCCGCTATGTACCACCTGTGCCACTCTTACCCGCTCAGCCCAACGTTTTCAAGCCATAGCCCTACAGTAATCTTCTGCATTCAAGATTTTGCCTATAATTCAGTGTTCTTATGATGATTTTCGGAGCGGTGCATAACAAAGGAACACAGCCTCTAAGTAGGGTTCTGTGGTGAGATAAGAAATACAAGAGAAATGTGTAATAATGATCTGACCGATAAAAATCCAAGGGTGAACTGCAGTAAGCCAAAAAGGGTGTATCTATAGACGGCATTCATAGCGAGTTGGGTGAACTCGTAATCGTCGAAAATGCCGGCATCCCACTCGAATTCACCTAAAGGATGTCAAAGTAAGTGAAAATCCTCGAATGAAACAAATAAATATCTACCGATGATGAGGGCATCCATGAGATGCCTAAAAATCAGTGAAGAGGCAGAGCTGAGAGCTCCTTGCGTGGCGGCCAACACCGCTCCAAAGATCATCAAACAGAAATCGAGTTTTGTGGCATATCGGAACTAAAAATGCTTATAGAGTTTTAGGCCAGGGTTCATTACCCAGCATCTTTGAACTTTCCCAAATGGAGCTGCAGTTGCAACATCTTGTATCAAATGTGCAATAATGCGGTTGCGGCAGGGCAAATCATTGGTTGGGGATATTAGTCGAGTCCGTACGACCCCCCCTCCCCCCCTCCGGCCCTCTGTCCCTCCTCATCGAATCGAGCCGTCGAGCGGGGCGAGGGGGGGGGCTGGGGTTCCACGAAAAGTCAACCACACTATTCCCACCATTTCTAGAAATGCCAGAAATAAATATAGTGTAGTTCGCTGCGGACGGTTGGGCGTGTCAGTGCGGCTGCGTTTGGCGCGGTGCCAAACTCGTTCTACACCAGTTGTTGAAGCGGGCAAGTGACAATACTGTATCATATGCTTCGTATTACTCTTTTCTACCACTTTTTGTCGCATGCGCTCTTCAAGAAGGCAGAGAACGGCTCTGATAGGGTGACACACTCATACTGGCTGACACGCCCAACCGTCCGCAGAGAACTAGAGTGTACGACCCTCCCCCCCCTCCCAACAATGAGCAAGTACGACCCCCTCCCTTTACAACGTCCGTGAAGCGAGAAAAATCAACTATCAAAATAAATTTTTTCCCAGCCCAAATACGACCCCCTCTTCTGGCGGCCAAATACGACTCCTCCCCCTGTTGGGGATATTCCCAAACAAACGAAACGATGCCTTGGTTGCGGTCGCCTCTCGCAATTTATACGCCTCGGCCTGATGGGGGCCGAAGGATACCTAGCCAAGCCCGTACTGACTACTAGTACATTCCTGCAACCTAAGTGATTAACTTGTACCATTTAACAGCTTCAGTGGAGTTTATGCTGCCTTTTCTTAAAGTATGGTCCGTAACCTACGCGATAGTTAGGTATAAAAGGGGCTATCGGTGAGTACCCAAATGTCCGTTTTTCTTTCCTCTGGGACCGAATTTCTCACCAAATGTCCGGTCCGTCCTTCGGCCGAATTTAATGTCTTTTAGGTGCAGGGTGTTCTCACATCAAAATGTCACCCTCAGTCGTCTGTCTGCTATCTTATCACCCCGAAACAAATCAGAAAAATGACGTATTCTGAAGTGTTTCGTTAAGGCCACAGCTTGAATCTTTACTGATGAGAGAGACAGAAGCAAATAGGTTAAAAAAGACTCAAAACGTTCAAGTAAACTAACCAGTACTGGCAGAGCGACTTTGTCCTGTTCTCCCACAGCTTTCCTGGAATGAGAAAAGAAGCCATCCTGCCCGACTAGGAGTGCCTGTGCTCAAGCTTAAAAAAATCAATATCAAATTGCAAGCTATTGCAGGCTCGTCAATGAACACCGATTTCCCTGTCATGACATATTTCCCAGGATCATTTCTTCGAGGGTGTAGACGAAATATTGTCGACTCCCAGTTTTGAGTGATCAAAAACCATTTTCTCACACGCACTTATATCAGTAAGCACTGCCCGCATCACGGAGGGGCAAGGGGGCGTTTCGTTTACGCGCCCCCCTAAATGTGAATTTTGCCTATTCCAGGAGCAAAGTTTCACATGCAGGGGCGCCACGCAACTTAAACAAACACATCTGCATTATTTTCATTTGAAGCCTTTTTGTTGTTTATGGTCTTCGCTTCCTCATCAGCGACAGTAGAAAGGCATAGACATCGTCGTTCTCTTCTTACTTTATTTTTTTATCCTCTTGTTCTTTAGATTAATTTCATACTTTGCGGCAGCGTCCACCAGCGGCCAACAGCGTCAGAAGTGGAGGCGATAGGAGGAGCAGACAGTCGGTAGAGTATGGAGGAGACAGGAGGGTAGCAGACTGCTGGTAGGGAATATGGAGCGAGACAGCTGATAGACTATGCGGAGATGGGAGGTAGCAGACTGTCTGCCTTCCTCCTTTTGCCCCATACTCTGGACGCTGCTGGTGGCTGGTGGACGCTGGTGGCCGCTATCGATATCTATAGGTTCCTTGTCGCTCAGAGTACAGCATCGTGAGGTGTGAGGTGGTGGTGTAGGTACGACCCCCCCCTCCACTTAAATGGGGGCCTCGGTGAGGCGCCCCCTACCCCACAGCTACTACAAATTCCCCCAATTCCAGTTTTTATCCAAAGATTTTCTTTTCGAGCGGGGAGAGGGTATACAGTGACACATTGAAACACTGAAAAAATCAGAGCAAAAAGTCAACCAGAAACTCGCGACAAATTTCACTCAAAGGCACATACGCCCCCTCCCCCCCCCCTCCTCAGAGAAAAAGTACGACCCTCCTATGTGTTTCACACAACGATGCTGTACCCTGTAGTCGCTCAAGCTGTCGGACGCTCGGAACGCTGGTAGTCGCTGGTGGACGTTGCTGGTCGCTGGAAGACGCTGCAGCAAAGTGTGAACGTAACCTGAAGAATAAGAAGAAGAAGAAGATGATTGTGTCTGTGTCATTTCAACTTAAGACAACTTGGCTTATGTAAGGCAAAGACATTTCAAGCCTTTATGTGAACTCCCGCGATTACATTCCACGATTTTTAACTGACTTTTGCACTCACTATTTTCATATTAACTAGAGATCATAGAAAAGCAATAGAAGAAATAGAAGACATAATTAAATGTAGAAAAGGGCTCAAAAGAAGGAATCAAAACTCACTTCTCCTTTGTTTTTACTGCTTGTTTCGCTTTCACGTCTTCATCCATGCTTGAAAATTTCTTGGCAAGAAAAAGCTTAAGCGAAAATTAACGTTGGTTGATTTTCAGAGGTTATGTAGGACGTTGAATGTCGATAGCTGAATGCTTTTCGCTGATAAGTCAAACTGGTGAGTAAACAGAGTGAATTCCGATCTGGAGACAATTAATGCTGAAGGTAAATTGCTCTATCCCCCATTTCTACCGGCAACTTTTTGGTCCTATTTACACTTCGTTGAACGTTCCCCTTAGTTATTCGTTACCCAACTGAATGAAAACTGCTGCTTTGACTATCTGCTTTGCCAATAAATTGAAGAAGAGTTATGAAAAGGAGATGGTGAGAAGGTGGCTGCACTGACTGGCAAGATAAGGAGAATGAACAGATGGTTACTCTGGGTGTGATGACGTCTCCGTTATCGTTCAGAAAAGCCCACCATACACTGACAAAATGGTGACGGGGTGTAGCCGATCACAAAACAGAGCATTCTGGGGATGAAGTCGCCATCAGGACCGTGACATAATGGTTTCCGTCACATCCATAAGTTCTTCTGACTCTATCATTTGTAAGCTTGACACTGCTTCTAAGGTACGTTGCTCCCTTCGAACTGATCCTGATCACATAAGAGAAGGGAGCGCAGTTCGGTGTGGTGGGACATCAAATGGTACTCGGCAATGCTTTCACAGGCCACCTTGTGAGAACCTAAGAATTCTTGTGATCAAAGTGGCTCACTCGCACCTTTCCCAGCTCAGCCTTTTAGGCCTAAACGAAATGAGACCTGTATTCAAGATGAACTAATAGGAGGAACTAGCAGTAGTGCAAAATGTCCCCTCCAAGTCGTCGAACAGCCGGGGGCAACGCTCGTTGTGAAACGCGCCACAAATGCGTAAGTAACGGAGTAAACGTGTACTCCGTGTGCTTCAGTGGGGTCGTTCATGACGACGCCCCCTCCCCCATATTTCCTCGAGACTCCTCGTGGTCGCTTGCATTGTACTTCAAATTCCAACGCGTTTTTCATTGGGTGATCTTTGATGCGCCACTCCAATCTATTAGGTCATCTCATTCAAAAGTGCCGAAGATCTTATTCATATAAAACGAAGAGAAAAACAGATAGAAAAGTAATATTTTGGCTTTGAGTTAAGTAGATCCCTCCTTCACCAATGACCCGCTCCCAGGCCCCGAAAGCGTTGAACCATCTGGTACCTTGTTTTTTAACTAAGTGGTCGGGTAAGTTGCTGTAGCTGTGCAATTTCGGTGAATGAAAAACGATTGGTATGCGTTTGTGGTCGGGAGAGTACCCTCGACTGATCAGAACACTCGGCTTTATGGGTTGGGCGAATGGGCGATTGACGCCAGGTCTTAATATTGTTTTGCGTCCCAGCACTTTGGCCTAAATACCAGTTACTACGGGGTCTGGTACTATGCAGAGCAACAGGTGGCCGTTCTACGTTGTAGTTGTGGTGGTAGCATCGTCGATCTGAATGCCGAGGAATGGCAAATATACACCCGACAGTGGCGAGTTTTCTCTCTACATAGAGCCGGCTTGGAAGCCACAGTGCAGAACTTCTCGCTATAGTGGTACCATCCAGTTGGGCCACGTAACTCCCGCATGGTAACACTCGGGGGGTTTCTCACTGCATTCATACAAAATATGACGATTAAATGAGTTTTTGTGCTGCTCAAGTTCAGGACACCTATTTCATTTACGGCGGGGAGGCGTTTTCAGCAGTCGCAATATGACATCTATGCTGAGACACGGTTAATGTCGAGAGGCGATAGAATCAGTACTCGCGTGTCGTGGCTTCTTTTTCTACATGAAAATTAGGTCAGAGAAGGGCATTAGTGCGTGGGGACTTTGGTCTAGCGCTTTTACAACCTTCCCCCCCTTTTTTTTCAGGGGCTGGTACGACCCCCCCCATGCTCGTACGATGGCTGACATGGCTGACTGTGGTTGTGGTTTATACTCGGCGAAAAAGTTGTCGAGCGGGAGGATCATGTTATAATGTTGTTAAGGCATGACGAACGTACATGTACGAGCAGTACATATACTATAACACTGAGAAAATATCATAAAACTCATGAGCGTTTTGGGAAAACACGTACTCCACTGGCTAAGAAATAGACCCCCTCCCAAAACAGACCATAACTGACCCCCCGCCCATGTTCGAAAGCGTCCGCAAAAGGGAGAAAACTATAAAAATATCATATAAAAATAATTTTTCCACAGACAAATACGACCCCCATTTAGGGAACACCCATCGGGGAACGGCTGTGCCTGCATTAG